TTCTAAACGTAATTAACGAGGGATGCTTTCTTTTAACCGCCAAAGTTCTGTTTTATTTCAATTTCCCTCGTTACTCGGCCAATATTTCAAGTTTTAACCATTCCCCCAGTGGGCATTATACACCAATATTCCCCCCTCTTGTCAACCTGACGTCATGACCAAGGCGGATGAAAACGGCGCTTATTGCCAATAACGGTTTCGTGGGGTGACGAGGTCAACCAATCAAATGTCATCTCGTGACCGAAACTATTCAAATAACGTTAGTAATAAACAACAGTCCCGGGCTAAAAAAAATTAGTCACGTGACTAATTTATAGTTCCAATATTCTTTGGGAAAATAAACAAGCTGGGGATATGAAGTGTCACGTGACTATTTTATTGCTCAATAATGCCCGGTGTATTGTTTGATAAAGTAGGAATGAGAACGTTAATTCTACACATTCTAAGGTTTTTCCAATCAGCCATAATTAACAACCAGGTTTGTTTATGACCTACAGCACACGATGTGATTCACTTCAAAGACCACGTGAGCTAGTGATTATCCAGCATCTGTTTGTATAATAACAATATCTATCAGTTTCTCACAAACTTGTTTTTTTTTTTTATTAACATAATTACAATTTGGAGTCGATATTGTATTTGTATAAACATAATTACAACACGGTGTCGATAGCCTACCTATTATATTTGAATTTGCTTCCATTATTCTGTACTTTAAGAATATTTCTTGGCACTGTGCACTCTAGAAGTATTGGTATTACAAATGTCATCGTGTTAGGCTGTATCGTCAGAAACAAAAAGTACATTCTTGGTTATCTACAGTTTCCTATTGGAATGTTAATGAAATCAAATAAAATGGTATTCAACGTCCTAATGAGGCCGGGCATATGCCATACAATGCGCTATAGAGAAATTTTGCCCGGGCAGCGGTCAGGCCCGTAACTAGGGGGTTCGCTCCCCCCCTCCCCCGTGAAAAAATTGTCGACCATAGATATACTATGTCCGTCAATTTTACAGCACCCCTGAGAACACTTCCCGCCTCTCTTGTTGTTCTGAGCTAGTTACGGCCCTGGCAGCGCTGCTACGGCCTATTGTTATGTCGAACCCTCCCTTTGAAAATCCCGAATCCGCCCCTATTCTTCATTATAAAACTCTAAACACTTGTTTTCAGCATAAAAGTTACAGGCAAGAGTTTAAGACAATACAAAATCAAAAGCACACTTTGCTACTTTTATTTTCAAAAGTCAATCGGATCTTCGTGGTGTTCCAGTGTGCTTAATCACAACAGTCACAACTGGGTCCGGTTTCTCGATATCATAACTACAGATAAAATCCAAATTTTAGTAGATACTTCAATTTTGATTGGCTAAGTACTAAAATCAATCTTATATTATCCAATCAAATTACTAAAATTTGGATTTTATCTTAGTTGTTACTAATATTTTAGAGAGAGAGAGAGAGAGAGAGAGAGATGGGGTTTAAAGTCCACTCGACACAAACTAGGTCATTTCGGGACTAACATATGGTTTAATTTTATTTCAATAATTCGCTTGCGCGTAGGGGTCTTTAACAGTGGGAGGAAACAGGAGGACCCGGAGTAAACTCACGAGGTTGGACAGGCGACCCTACTCCTTGTCACGTACAACCCGGGATTCTAATCTTTTAGAGGCATTCAGTAACTAGATAGAACAACAATCTGATTACAGTACAGATCTATATTTCGTTTCGTTATACTTTCTATGGCCTACACTACGTGAAGATCAGACTAGTTGTAGTGGGAGGTCGCGTCAGGGGTCGTACTATAAAACTATAAAAAACCGAAACGAAATATAGGTTCTGTGTTTTAATCAGATTGGATGGATCAATAAACTATATAACACATATTTATGGAAAAAGCAGCTACTAGTTTATTTGGATAACCTTTGAGATTAATCTCCCAACGTTATCAAGCTGACAGTAATAGAAAAATGTGAGGCAAATATATGCAGAAAACAAAATTATGGAAAACAGCTACTAATTTATTTGGGTAACGTTTCGAAGAGTATTCTCTCAAAGTTATCAAGCCAAAACAGTAAAACACAACTGTGGGGGAAATACATACTTAAATAATTAAAACAACAAAACTGAAATCATACATGACAACAACAGTATCACAGGAGATAACTTGTCTGCGATATCACCCTTGGAGGATGTTGGATAAGATCAGTTCCCATTGGCAAGCCAATCGTTATCTGTAATGGGAGCACGGAATTCGTGAGAGAGAGGGAGAGAGAGAGAGAGAGAGAGAGAGAGAGAGAGATGGTGTTTAACGGCCACTCGACACAAACTAGGTCATTTCGGGACTAACATATGGTTTAATCTTTTATTTCAATAATTCGCTTGCGCGTAGGGATCTTTAGTAGTGGGGGAAACCGGAGGACCCGGAGAAAACCCACGAGGTTGGACAGGCAATCCTACTCCTTGTCACGTACAACCGGGGATTCGAAACCACGCCCGTTGACTCAATGACAGGCCTTATGATACAGCGCGCACGTGCTAACCATTCGGCCATCCCCGCACCCCCCACCACACCACGCAATTCCTTTGTTGGTGTATTAGTAAATATAATTTTAAGACCATCATCAAAATTCATTAACCCTTTGGTACATAAAAATATTAAAATAACTTTTGATTCATAGATATTCAAGCCTAACATCGTCCACGTTGAGCAAATTTGAAAACGGTTGAAGAGTTCATCGTCAACAAAGTTGTTAAATTAACATTCAATTATCAAAAATGCATTAGCACTCAATTATCTCATCCTTTCATTACAACCGTCAATATAATCACAGTCAAGATTGCCTAATGGTTGCCTGCTAATGGTTCTGGTTAAAAAAATACCCAACCAAAAAATGAGAATATTGATATTAATTTGGTTAAATGAAAACTCCGGAACACGCGGTGCTGTCTCACAAGTCTAATATCTTCTCTCAATATGGCCGAACTAGTTTTTAATCTCTGTTCTCGCGAGACTGACATATCTCGCCAATTAACCAATCGTTGTCTTTGTTTTAACCACACGCCACCATTTACATTTTGGATTAATGGATACTTTCGTTGATTGAAAGGGGCTTTTCTTCTCTAGTGAAAAATATTTGTGTTAATCCGCCATTCGTTAAATAAACCACTGGAAAGAACAAAATGTCTTTGAAAGCAAGAGAATTATACCTTAAAGTGTTGAGTAATGGAATAAACCCTTTTTTTGGATTTTGAATTTGCAGAGAAATTGAATCGAATTATTGTCTTTAGAAATATCAAGAATTCGAAAAAAAACATAAGAGATTAGGGAGAAAGAGGGCATTGAAGCATCTACTTTGAAATCGCATAAGAGATAGAGGTGGGGGGGGGGGTAGTGTTGAAGTATAAACAAAACTATACAAAGCAAACCTACGGACAGGACACAGTATACACAGACATTTCAAACAATAAAAAAACTATTGTATATATCCATTGTTTTGAATGCACCCGTGACCCGGCCGCGGGCGTCAAATTCGGGCTTAGTTATCAGCAAATCTTGGCAAAGTACAAATTGATGATGCGGTTGTCCTTATGTCAAATTCGGGCTTAGTTATCAGCAAATCTTGGCAAAGTACAAATTGATGATGCGGTTGTCCCAATGTCAAATTCGGGCTTAGTTATCAGCAAATCTTTGCAAAGTACAAATTAATTTCGTTATTCTCATTTTCGGTCAGATAAACTGCAAATGTTGGGGACAGATTGGAAGGGTGAATCGTGCTGTTTTTTCATTAGAACGTCGAATATTCCCGAGAAATACCAAATTAAGAGAACACGAAGTAGTCGCATTAACACGTAAAAAACACAGAACATTCGGATGAAGAACACGCGCCTTTTTCACAAAAACATCTGGTGTGGATAAAAAAAATAAAGGTCCAATAAAAATCGATGTTACATGTCGTTTATATCTCGTTTAGAGGGTCAAAGGTTATACGTTTGAGATCGAGTAAACCCAGTCAATGGCGGTAGAATTGTATCAATTTCTAACTTAGTTTCGCCAGCTTCCACAAATGGGTCAATTAAGATTAAGTGTAATTATGAAGCGTATTGAAACGGTTAAAATTACACAGTTAGGCCACCATCAGATGTGAATATAACCATAATAAGAGAATTACCAGTCATTTCTTCTGAATTTCTGGGTAATAAATTGAGAAGGAAAAAAAATCTAAAATTGCGCAGACCATTTAAAGAAATCGCTGCCACCATTTATGATAATTGGCTGAAGATGTAATCTGAAATTAATTCTGAGCTGGTGTAATTTCCCATAACAACTGTGTCGAGTCCCTGACTTGTAATTCCGGCATGAATCAGCATAAATTTACGATTGAATTCAATTAAAGTATTCCTACACTTAAATGAAATAAAATGGGGTTTACTTTTCTACACCAACCGGGCTAATAGGGCAAGCAGTATGCTATTATGGGAATTAAAGGAGCTAAATCTCTATTCTTTGGCACCTAGAAATCGGCACAAATGGGTCGCAGCGCATATAATAATGTACTACTAATGTATATAAACTAATGTACATTCAATCGTTTTTGTTTTTACTGTAATTTCTATTCCGTTATGTTGAAGACCCCAACCTGAATGGCAGTCTTTCGCGTCTGGTTATTCCAGTCTAAACAGGTAGTATTCTCCTATGGAGTATGTTTGTTCTCGTTCTTTGAGTCGCCTGATTACAAATGGCACTCGAAAGCATTCTGACCCACGATCCGTGTGCCAATTTTAAAATTTTCATTTTGTCTTTTTACGGTAAGATATAAACATCAATGTTGATTTAAACTGACCAATATAAGTCGTGCTTGCAATGTCGAAGACTGTGGATGTTACTGAGTTAAAGACTTGCCTCCTTTAAGAAATGAAATAAAAGGTGGAGTAGGTTATTATGGGACAATAATAAAATTTTATTTTTGTTATTTTTTAGGTCTACCCAATGATGACAACAACAAGACCGAGGGTCCCATGTTTCTCAACACCATACCGGAAGTCGTGGCGTTCGCTGATAGTAATGGAGCTTCCATCTCATGTGCAGCATTCGCCCGACCAGCGCCGGAACTTGACTGGCAGCGAATGGACGGAACACCGGTGGAAGAGGTTACCGGACTCCTGGCAATTCTACCGAACAACACCCTGTATTTCCCGCCTTTTGATTCCAAACGTTTCGCGCCAAGCATTCACAATACTCAGTACCGCTGTGTAGCCAGAAATGTAGTCGGAATTATCATGTCTAGAAACGTCACAGTTAAAGCAGGTAAGCACATATTATGATTTTTTTGCAACCATAGACATGCGTACTGGACCCTTTATGTTTGAGCGGCTCCAAAAATTCTGCCTAATATAAACTTATCTTTGTAATTTTGCCCGAAAATCACCCTTTTAACAGGAAAATACCAGATTATTATCCCTAAAGGAAAGTATCTTGTTTTGTGTGAAAACACGTAAAACATCCTTCTTCGAGGTTTCGAGCCCCAATATCTAATTCTCTTTCAACAAACACTAAATTTGAGAGAGAGAGAGAGAGAGAGAGATGGGGTTTAACGTCCACTCGACACAAACTAGGTCATTTCGGGACCAACATATGGTTTTAATGTTTTATTTCAATAACTCGCTTGCGCGTAGGGGTCTTTAGCAGTGGGAGGAAACCGGAGGACCCGGAGAAAACCCACGAGGTTGGAGACAGGCGATCCTACTCCTTGTCACGTACAACCGGGGATTCGAAACCACGTAAGTTGACTCAATGACAGGCCTTATAATACAGCGTACACGTGCTAACCATTCGGCCATCCAACCCCCCTCACTAAATTTAATGTTATATTATATTGCTAGTGCATAGTGCTTGCATGCGGCATATTACAGTCACGTGAAGAACGTTTAGCTTGCAGCCACGACAATGAATAATACATAAATATGACTAAAAAGCATTTAGTGATAACGGTGATTAATCTTAGTAGGTCTGTTGAGGGAACCCCGGGGCCTTAAACATTTAGATAGTGTTAGTAGTTTAATCATGACCAACTTTGTGTAAAATCAATATGGCCGCTGGCAGGATTTTGTTTTTTTGTTTTGTTTCTTATCTCAATTTATTCTAGAAATCGGAAGTCGTTTATCGAAATACGAAATGTGATAGAAATTTGAAATACGTCATTCGAGTCCTTTCGTGCAATATAGAAATCGCGAGTTTGTTTATCCATAGATTGGATTAGATATGACTCAAAGATTGGTTATGTTCAGTAGAAATGCCTGCAGGTAGCTACCATCGGGGCAAGGACGTGATTAAGAATTAAGATTAAAACTATTGTTTTTATTCGATGGTTCGCTTTTTTATATATCAAGGAACGCCATAGTCTTACTGTTCTTACTGTAACCTGGCTTATAAAACTTTGCCTAGTTAAACAACAGAAATCACTAAATTAATGCGAACTTGGTTCAATGGAATCGTTAACATCAAAAAATGCGCACATTCTTCCCTTGCGTAACTAAGATCCTGGCTTTATTACTAAAAACTTCTAGTATTCAGCGTAAAGCCCTGTCATCCATCTTGCCTGTACTGATAGCGTGCAATCCCAGAGGTCAACAGAAAACAGTCCCGCACCATAATTAATCCCGGGAGAACATTGGGTAATAATGGGTATTAGAAGTTATCCCATCTTTCAGATTTCATACTGATGAAACTGATAACAGATGCCCTGAAAATATGCACTTAATTCAATTGCTGTTGGTTCTGTTGGACACAAATAACCATTACCTCATCTGCGTAATCAGAAAGGAATCGTACAAAAAAGTCGAACCCAACGAGGAATACGAAGTCACCGATGTGACCAGATACATCGCAGGGATGGGATAACGAGAGGATATGTCGAGATAGAATGATGATTGGATAATATATCTGTAACGTAACTAAAGAAGACATAAAGCCATGATTGATTGGACGATCTGTGGCCCTCCATACATCCACAGACCAATATCTTAACGGACAAAAAATTCCACCATTTTATCTAGAAGTCGTTTTGACATTTTGAATACAATCCAGGAGTTGTCAAAATGTTTTCAAAAATGGACTTGTTTTAAAGTTTTGACGCTGGATTTATAATGTAAAGAAAGGGTAGATTTCTTGATTATCGTTAATTTCCAGATACTAATTAATGATACGCACCAGTTGTTTCGATCCCTAATTATCTGTGAATTGGTTCTGGTAGTTTGTTCTACCCAAATAACTTAAACATACATTATGCAGAAGCTAAATCTGCAAATTGCAGGTCTTTCTTTAGGCCAGAAATTGTTAATTAGACATTAATTAACCTATCCAGACCATAATCAACTCTCGGTGTCATCGCTAGACTGCGATATTTACTGGATTATAATCCGATCTGCTGTTCAATTTTCATTCATGATTAAATCAAAAAATTGTTAAACGAGACTATGTCTTTTTTTTTTTAACGTACCGACTTTAGTAATGATGATCGAGGCTAGGCCGAAAATTCAAACGCTAATATCTCGATTCAGAGTGTAGCAATTTGACTGAAATTTTTCACATATCCCCTTTACATTATCTAGTTTTTAACTATTATAGTTAGAACTGTCAGTTCTTTATCCAATCTTCCATAATGTCCCTTTAAGATAGAGTTATAAGCTTTATGGTATAAGGGCTGACAAGGAAAGCTGTCTAGTCGTTCGGATGGGACGAAAAACCGAGGTCCCGTGTACACATTGGCGTGCACGTAAAAGATCCCTTGGCAGTTGGAATTCGATATAAGAGTAGGCCGTAGTGCCGCTGTCCGGGCAAAATTTCCCTCATAGCACACTGTATGGCGTATGCCCGTCTTCATTAGCCCAGGTTAGGAGCAGAAAAGTAGGACGTTAAACTCCATTTCATTTCATTTCATTTCATTTATGGTATAAATTTATATTAAAGTTGAAACACAGTATCATCAGTAAAAGAAACAAAAACAACAATATCTCTAAAATTGATAGTTTTAAATTGCCGCATCATATTCCTGGTAAAAATAAAATATAAAAACCCGTTCGTCATCGCCATCATTGATTTAACGTCATTTCGCCATAATAAATTCTCCCCACTAATAGAAAGACATTAAACGCACGGGCAATATAAAGAACACTCAATTAAAACTGTCAATTTGTCAAAAAATGAAATGAAAACTTTTTAAGTGACACCGCAATTGTCGTTCATCTCATCTTGAAAACTGAATCCTTTAGTTTCACAATTTTTCCATCTATTATTTTGCACTTTTCGATGGCAAGTTAAATATTTCTTAAATGGTTTTTATTAAAGGACCCGTGTAATTATACCTTGGCAATGTAAACAAACATTGAAGTCTGTGCTTGCTCAAACAACGATTCTCTGTGTGTTCAAAATACAGCAGCAATTAAACTCTTGAAAAATGCAAAACAATACAGAACCGTTCTAATGTGATGCGTCCGGTTTTTGTCTCCTACTTAGGTCGATTTGTGGAATTGGAATTCGAAACAGTTGAGTAGGCCGGATTAAGTGTGCGTGTGCGTGTGTGTGGGGGGGGGGGGGGCGGGCGGGGCAGGGGCAACATTATACTTACAGTGTAAATTGAACGGTTCACAGACTTTTATATTATCTCTGCGTTTTTATATAAAGCATATGATTACTTCATTTTGGGCCAAGGAATTGGCGATATAATTACATGTATAGGCTAGCTTCGATTGTCATTAATACCGTTGTTAACCGCATCCTGCACAAAACGTATTTAAATCCACTAAATATGGTAGGCATCTGACGGCATCGAGAGTTGATTATGTCTAGTTGTAATTAATAAATGTCTATAACATTTCAGGCCTAAAGAAAGACCTGCAATAGACAATGTTAGCGCTTGAATAATGTATGTTTAAGTTGTATCTATACATCTGTCAGACTGACAACCATATAGCATTTGTGTGAGTGTAACAGAACATGGCCAAAAAATGATCCCTGGTGATGCAAGGTCCCCATGGGCACCGTACAAGCTAAAACCGACCCTGAAACTGCGATAAATGGAATGAAATGGGATTTATCGTCCTAATGTTCTGCCCCCACCGGGCTAATGAAGACGGGCATACGCCATACAGTGTGTTATGAGGGAAATTTTGACCGTAAAGCGGTGCTATGACTGAAACTGCGAAATTTGACTGTGTCATGTTAATGTCTCTACTGAATCTCACTTCTTTTTTCACCATCCACCTATTTTATAAAAGAAATAATCAATGCTGACATCTGGTCGAGGCTTTTCTAAATGGCCATCTTTTGTTGATATCCAATTTAATGGATTATCCGGTTCAAACAAAAGGATTGACATTTTTTATTCTGACCTTTAGTCTTCTGTCGTCCCATTGATTAGATCAGGAAACAGCAGCACATGGAAGTACTCAAGACAAGAACAGCTACTAAACACCACACTAGGGCGGAGAGAGAGAGAGAGAGAGAGAGAGAGAGAGAGAGCACTCAACATGACATTTATAGAGACCATAAGGCCCTGCCAATTCATGTACGATCGACATCGACAAGAAACCTGGCATACTTGTTTATTGGACAATTGCGCAGCAAATGGTATATAGCCCATAGTACGGTGGTACTTGTCTTTAATGAATAGGGGCGGGGAAATGGCATACGGTGTCTAACACGTGTGTGTTTATTTGAAAGTGTATATGCTCATGTTAATATTTACTGCAAATGTATTTATTTTATCTATATACGCCTGTACCGGAGAGACCCACGAGAGAGCCCACGAGAGGGCCTATACATTTCAATGAGTAAATTCCCTTCAGAAATTGCCTCAGATGCAAGGAAATCGACATGAGTCTTTTAAAATCTACTGGGGGAATATCACGCTCGAGTCTCTGCGGTCAGCACCCCACCCCAATCACTTTTTTGCACGCGCCTCTGGATAAGTCCAAGATAAAGAAGCTGTGACATCCAATATCGGATTGCTATTTAATCTTTGGTGATAAAAATACAACCGTGCCACTTTCGTGTGTATTGCGGTTAATCAGTTTTTCTAAATCCATATGTCAATGTCAACTTTGCATACAAAATTCATAAAAGTCATTCACTTTCCTTTAATACAAGATAGGAATTCCCCAGTGACGCCAACATTTATACGAGATTTTACGAGAGTGACGTTACTATTAATCATGCTATAATATGTGAGATCATAATTATATTGTTTTAATATTCAAAACAAAATCCAACGCCATTAGTCAAAAATACTTGGGTGTTAGTCAGACGAG